CATCTCTTTCCAAAGTTGAAAGAACATTTGTCTGGAAAGCGCTTCAACAATGACGATGAGGTGAAAGCTGAGGTTCGAAGTTTCCTGAACAGCATGGAGGTGAACTGGTATGACATGGGCATACAAAAACTGCCACTGCGCCTACAAAAATGCATCGACCGAAATGGCGATTATGTAGAGAAATGAGTACATGTTCAAGATTCAACTGATGTATCCAAAATTGAAAATAAATGTTTATTTTATATTTTCAAACATAGGAGACCTTACTTTTGGAATTACCCTCGTATAAGCCTCAAAAAAGCCTCAGTAGCCCCGGTTAATCTGCCCCCGGATAATCGAGAGTTGACTGTATTTACAAATACAAGTTTTTGTGTGTAAAATTTTGTTCTTAACCATTTCTTGTTCTCTTGAGAAGACTTCTGACATTGTAATTTTCTCATCCATATTCTCTCTCAGAGTCCTTCTGCCACCAACTGTATGAATTTACAAAAACAAATATGTTCACATATATGAAAAATGAATGGCAGAAGTTATATATTTTCTTCTGTCAAAGTGTTTTCCTCCTTCTCCCCCTGAACAGAATAATTTCTAGTATGTAGGAGATGAATTGAATATAAGACTGTAAAACTATACGGTGTACACTTAGCAGGTAGGTTTGCCTGATATGCCATCATCTGTGACCTTTAAGTTACTTATGGGAACTGGTATTATGCAATTCTGGAGGTCCTTATTTTAAATAAACTCATCCTTTATAATAAATAAAGATTAAATTCAAATGCAGCCAGTAGTTGATACTTACTGAAATTGGAGAGAAGTCAGTAAGCGTATACAAAATGAATCAAGAATGACTGTTAGGGCTTCAGTGTTCGCTGTAACAACACATATTAAATGAAAATTAAATGTGTGGGTTTGTGTAATATATGCTTTAGAGGCAATTATAATAGAGTACTACAGTCAAAGAATAAACATGCCTGATATTAGCACAGCCTGAACTCAGGCAAGACTTCTGTCTGTCTAACTCTCTGTTTCTGTCCCTCTCTTAGTGGTGAATTTTAGCTGAAACAATTAAAGCATTTCTTTTTGTAGATTAACCTATTATGATTGAGAATAAAGAACTTTTGCAGTATGGTAAATTATATTTTAATTAACCTTCTTCACACTAGGTGTAAATCCTCCCAGTTCAAATGACAGTAATTAATTAAAACTGTGTCCCCTTTTCTAAAAGTATAAATTTCTCCAAAACTGTCAGGGATAAGAATATAAAATAACAAGTATCTTAAATCAAATAAAACAGATCACAGGACTACAAAAATTTAATTCATATATTTTGTTATGTGCAAGAGCCTTGGCTCTGAACCTGTTCAAGGTTAAGAATGAAAGTGCCAGGTGTCTTCTTTTATTCACATGGTTGTTATGTTATTCCAGCAGTTGTCTTACCCCAAGGTACTGTCCTGAGAAATTAACTTCAGTGTAGTAATTCCTAAAGCATGCAATAGTACACAGGGCAGTGTCTCATTTTTCACATCAGTAAAGTGCAGGTATATCTTTATTGTGAATGGAATAGACACAGTGCTACCATTGGTTTCCTTTGGATATCCATTGTTGCTTACAGATGGCTTCCAGGAAGTTCATTTTTATCATAGCATCACAGTTGATCTGGTAGGTGTTTGCCATTCTGTGGTTATATAACAAAACACATACTCCATTTTAGTCCTCAGCATTAGCAGGTTTCTGTCTTATGGTGGATGTTTGCACACTCGTATTCATGGTTTTATGGCAGTGTTATTAGTAGTAGTTGATGCTGCAAAACTTTGTATGGTAGAATGATTAGTGAATAATTATTAGAAAGGATATGGTAGGAAGTGGTCATGGTCTAATTTTAGATATTACCCAGAATTTTCTTGGAGGGACTGAGGAATGCTTCAGACAGTCTCAGTCTGGATAATCAGTGTTCTGTTGATGTTTGAGCTGATCACCTCCTGAATACAAATCTGGAAACATGACTTGAGTCAACTTGCTATGTAAGGTACATCAGTAATTTTCATCCTTGTTGACTGTTTTTATTCTTGCATTTATGATTTATGTAGTGATGCTGTCAGTAGCTCAGACTATAGAACTTTGAATGGTACGAGTATATTGATAGCGAATAATTATTGGAAAGAATGTGGAAGAAATTGGTCAAGTCCAATTTGAGGTATTTGCCTGGAGTGACCAAGGAATAATATAGCAGCTTCGCTTAGCTTAATCAGTGCCCCGTTGAAATTCAAACCAATCACCTCCTGAATACAGGATGAAAACATTAGGTTGAACACACTTTCATTATAGGGTTGCATACTAGTCAGGTTATAAAGTTGTTTATTTCCCCTACTTCTGCATAACCTACCATTTTCCCAGCATTGTTCATATTTGGCCTGAAGAAGGAGGCAGTATGTTCTTCTGAAATGTTTATATGTGCCTACCAGACTGCACAGTGTCATGACATTGAGGACCGTAATATATATGTTCGTTAAATTGTTCTAAAATTATTATGCTACTCATGTCCCATCACTGATTAAGGAAAAACAAGCACTTTTCAGTTACTGTCATGTTGGATAGTTGTAAAGTAATTTATCGTGGTTGTCCATGATATTGGCGATAGTATCTGATTATCTTGTCCACCCATAGTTGGAGAACTGCTGCGAAAACAGCAAGAAAGTGCTCAGTGGACTTGAGTGCTTGTTGGTCTGAATTTTTAAGTCAGATAGTATGCCAGAAGATGACTGGACAACCCTGATTCATATTTTACTTGGCCCTTCCCACTTTGTCCCCAGTGCCACCTTTCTCCTCCTCCTCCGCCTTGTAATTAGGCTGCTGCCTGCTTATGCAGACGAATGTCGTTCCAGTGCTTACACAGTCTTCCTCGGCTTATTATACACTTTGAGTAGTTACCTTTGATGACCCAAGCAATGATATCTTCTGTCATTCTTGAAATATATTTTTCCATTTTTTCCTGCATTCATCCGGTTTCATATTGGCTGAATTCACGTTATTCCCTAATAGCCTGGTTTCATACATGGTCCACCTTTGTCTCTCAGACAGCTTTCATAATTTTTTTTTTCATTTCTGTAGTCTAGTATTTGCTTTGTTCCAGAAGTGTCTGCTCTGGCTTCTGCTGCATAATTTAGGACCAGTCATCTGATTTTTCTGTTCTTAAGTACATATTTCACCATATTGTGTCAGTCAAGCATCTGGGCAGTCTAGCGTGTTTAAGTGCTTGATGCTTTACTTCTGATTGCAGCTGTCTGTTGCTTGTTATCTCCACTTCTGAATACTCCTGTATCCACATTATGGGGTGGGTAATGACAAGTATGGAATTGTTGCTTGGGGTCATATGTGGTGGTACTGTTGACCCATGACAGGTACAGTAGCCAAGAAGACCCAACAGAAACCCGAAAATCAGCAAATGAGTCAGTGGTTGCCAAGAGCCAGGCTAGCAACCTACTTGAGGCATCAGTCTAATTGCTCAGAGAATTATAGAAAGTTTCCAGTGGTCTTACCATTAAAACCCAAGTAAAACACAAGGTTGGAAATCATGATATGAACTCACCATTATATAACGCAACAATCACAGTGCAGTAGTAAAAGACTGAGAGGGCTGTAGATGTAACAGAAATCCTCTCTATCTCTCTCTCTCCTCCCCCACCCTCTCTTTTATTTCACAGCTGTAAATATATCTGAGATATAGATATGTTACATATCAGATTTTCCAGACCTCTTTCCTCTCATCCATAAGCAATGATGCCACAGGTCTCTTGTGTGCCATTCCTTTGTGTCACATCACTTACAAGCACTTCAGAAACTGCTTCCGTTTCAGTGATAGTGATGTGTTGGTGAAATTTGATCTGTGAGCCACCCATGTATGAGATATGATCTGGAAAGTCTGAATGTTGTGTCGCAAACTTACACAAGGAGCCCAGTGGCAGAATGGTCTTAACAATGAGTAACGGAAACATAATTTTTGAAGCCCCGTAGTTAGTACTTTGAGACTATATAGGTTAAGTATACATTTATATATGTATAAATCTGTAAATTCAGGTGGGAGTAAGCTTCATTTAATTATTACCAAGAATATGAGAGTTTGGTAATTTATGCATAACATCTCTTTTGCTTAATTATCCCAAAACATATAAAAACTGTGGAAGAAATGTGTTGTAGTGTTGGGCATAAAACATGCTTTGATTTTCTCAACAACTTTCATTTGAAGCATTTTCAAGTAAAGTGTGTTATTTTTATCAAATTTTAACCAAAGTGAAATGAGTCAACAAATTTTATTAAAACTCTTCAGTTTCAAATTTCAGTAAAATATGTTGAGTAGTTCTGCAGTTGTTTCATGCATACATATTAATTAAGCAAACTGAATAGGTACTTTGAAGATTTTGAACATACCTAAGAAGGATGACAAAGATCTAAAAGAGTCTACAGAAATCACCCACATAAAAAAAACATTTGCATGACTTTTAAACCTATGGAAAGAATTTGATTCTCCATAGCTAGAACTGGTAGGGGGAACAAGTTGTCTGTTGGTAGCACTGAACTTGGCATGTAACAATATGCAAATTGCTACTGAATGTGATATACAAAGAAAATTGCAGAGAGAATTTTCTGTTTGTCAAATTTTATATTAGCACAAGAATACACTTTAGGAGCTCACTGGAAAGTCAGTTCTCATTTGAATATGTACAAGCTTGAAGATTTATGGGATCGTAAAGACATGTATTAATCTTCCTATGTGTGTGACAGTTATAACTATGAGCATTCCTCAAATGGAACTTGTTAGGGGATTGTTACAGAAAGGAATAGAATCTGTTAAAAGTAGCTCTTATGGGCATTGATACTGTGGCTTTGAAATTTTCATCCAACCTGAATCTGCGTGCTTTCTTGAGGGGATCTAATGTATGGAAGTTACATGGTGACAGGTCCTGGCTTTGTGGAGGATGGTTCAACACTTAGCCCATGGAGTGCTGCATATCCTGGACATTGCAGGCCACATGGGAACAGGCAATGTCAGGCAACACAGTGACATCCTGTATGAACATGCTGGGATGCCTTCTCTTGATGGAAGTATAAAGGTCATAAGGGGTTTGACAGTAACATTGTGCATTGATGGTGATGTCAAGGTCCTACTGTCAAAGGGCTATAGATTTAGATCACATGAAAAGATCAAGTTCACAATGGCCAAATGTGGTTCTAGAAGCAGCCCAGAGAGTTCTGTGCGTTATATGGTGCTTTAGGGAGATGCCTGTCTTAATGCCCATGGGAACTGTTTTAATGCCTTCTGGTACTTCACTCAAAACAGTTACTGAACAGGTTTCATTTGAACAAGCCTTGTATATGCTATTACAGGTAGGCAGTGCACCTGGTGGTATTACAGTGAACATTGGATCACTTGCTAGCCTGGCTCCAATTGGGCCGATACGACTTGCTCCATCTTCTACCTCTGCTTCTGCCACAACCAGTACGTCTGTACACACTGCAAGCGAAGAGGGCAGAGAGCACACCGAGAGGGCTCGTAGTACTTCCCTCACTATCCATGGTACCTTGATCTCATCTGGTAATACAAATACATCAACATCCCTGCCTTCGACAGCAACTGTATCTGCTCCCATAAGTCGGAGTATTGTGACACCTGCTGTAACATCATCTGTAGGCAGGGGTCTAACTTCTTCGACAGCCACAGTACTTCAGTTGCAAGGAAAGCAGTTGCTTGGAGGGCGTACTGTATCAAGAACTGCAGGTGGTGGGGCTCTTACAACCCTATCTTCACTTCTGCAAGGAGGAGCAGGCACCAGGATTGTGACATCATCTGCATCCAGTGTCTTGCTGGCCCCCTCAGCTGACACACACCAGCTTAAAGGTAAAGTGAGGAGAGCACTGAAACTTCAACCTTTTACCAGAACAGTTCAGGATAGATTGAGATGAAATGTGAACACATTGGGGTGACCAGATTTTGAAAACAAGTCCAAGACTCCAAACCACACTTGAGAAGGAAGATGAATGAAGAATAATTGGCTTTTTAAGTAATATACATATTATTGAAGTTGCATTAAACTTCAAGAAGTTATTTCCATGTAAATTTCTTACTTAGTAGTGTTTAGTTTGCATTGCATTTAAATTTTTTTATATTGTTTTGTCTTGTATTCTGATTTCTCATACCTGACGAGAAGAGTGAATTCATCACCTTAGAAACCTAGTCACATGGATTTAAGTCTATTTTGATGAGTTTGCACAGTGTGCGGAACTTGGATACTCAAAATGTCAGTGACACTGTAAGTGATATATGCTACATAGTGTCAAAGTATTGGATGTTAGTGAATTATTGTATTGGGAAAGTTGTGGAAGGAGGTGGGCATGAGTGAATTTAATGTACTGTCCCAGAATCTTCTTGAAGGGATTGAGGAATATCACAGAAAACCTCAGTCAGCATGGTTGGTGTCATAGTCAAGACTCATACAGGCTACCTTCCAAATACAGATCAGAAGCATTATCGCTTCAGCCAACTTGCTTACTGAATTATCGAAAGAATTTCTAATATCTGGTCATCCTGTGTCAGTGGTTCTCAAAACCCTTAGACCTATACAAAATATTTCAGGGAGTTTACTGAAAAGATGCATAGTGGTCGATATTTTATACCAGTATTATTTTAAAACAAAAACTCATCAGTATTCCTGCTATACTCATCTGTGTCATGTATTTTTTGCAGTATACTCCATTGTCATAGGTGGTAAATATATGTAGGCTGCACTGAAAGTCTATTAAAGCAAAGGTACATGTGCAAAAACAGATACCATCTAGAGTTACTGGTGGTGTCCTGTCAGTGTTCCAGGAAACCCCCACAAATATGCAGGAATTTCTGCCAGTGCTACACAAGCATGAATATGCTCCTGTGGTGGAAGTTGGTTTTAGTATTTCACAACTATATATACATGGTTTTCTGGGCTGTCTCATCATTTTCATAGTGCTGGGCCCTTCATGATCTTTTAAGGGCCTGAACAGGTGGTAGTCCAGAGGGGCCAAGACAGGACTCTAGGGAGGATGGAGAGCACTTCCCACCCAAACTTTTCAGTTTTTCCCAATGTCAGGTGTGCAGTGTGAGGGCATGCATAGCTATGTTGAAGAATGATGTGTCATTTCATTGGGTGCTTGTCTCGAAGTGCATGTCACAGTTTCTGCAATGTCTGAACATAGTGAACTGCATGGACATCACCTTTCTGGACAAGAAATCAACCCGTATTTGCCCCTTGGCACCACAGAATACTGTTCCCATAATTTTTCCACCTGAGGGCATGGTTCTGGCTGTCACCTGCTTTGGAGATGCAGCGTGATACTGTTGATGCTCTGTCATTTTGTTTTGAGGTCAAAATGGTGGGACCAGCTTCCAGCATCAGTCACAATGTTCAGTAGAAATTTATCACCCACGGCAGCATGTCACTGAAGCAACTGTCATGAAACATTCATGCATGCCCTTTTAGTACTCATTGGTCAGCAGTAGGGGAACCCAATGATGACACATTTTCTGGTATCCCAAAATCTTCATCACCCTTTGCATGTCACTGCCCACTGCCAAGCTGTGCTACAGTTTCCCAAATTGTCACCCATCAGTCTTATGTGACAAGCACATCAACTTTCTGCTCATCGCATTTCATGGTGGTGGTTCTTAGTAAAGCACTGCAAGACGAATTGCCAATATGTTGCCATTATTGAAGTGTTTCACCCAGCACTGCACACTGCTGGCACCCACACAGGAATCTCATAAACACAAAGTCAGTCAGTGTTTATAACAGTACTCTTCTCCATTATGAGGAACTCAGTCATAACACACAGGCAAAATGATACATCATTTGTAATCATTTTGTCACAGTTGATTATGGATTGTGGAATTTACATATTCATATTTTTGAAAGAAGAGATTCATGGAATAAAAAAACTTTTGAAATCACTGCTTTATGGCATATGATTGAAGCAGTGATGGTACAAACAGCCAACTGCATGTGTGCATTGGCAGTTGTTGACTATGGAATGAGGATTGTTTGTGTAGTAGGACATATTGTTGGAGTGTCGATGGATCAAATTGTTGATTAGCAAGGGATGAGTGTATAATTTAATATTTAATTGTTAGAAGGGAACTTAAATTCTGGTTAATTTTTCTTTAAATTTGCAAACCCAAAGAAGTGACATGCTAAAATCTTTTTATGCTGAATTTTATGTTTTCACAGTTCAAATTATGGTCTTCTGGGACTTCACACTGTTTAGTCTTGCAGATAAAATAGATGACTCCAAGAAACCAGCTGTCTTCATCT